AGTGAAGCTCTTGCTTTAGTTCTGTAAACTTCTCTAGAATGCCAAAGGGAAGACAATGTGTGGAAACAGCTGATTTTACTTCAACCTGTCTTTCTTGGTAGCTGCTTTGTTTGCTGGTTGACTATTTTAATTTCTAGCAAGATTGTGGTATTAATTTTTTATTTATATGTATTTGAATAATGCTACAACTGGCTCAGTAAAGTGGAGTTACTGGAAACCAAAGTTAAAAGACCCCAATGAAAAGTTTCAGACAGAAAGGTAACTTGCAGACTGGTGTGATTTAAGTTTGTCTGAATGTAAGACAATAGTTACAAAACAGTCTAGAACAGATTTGGTTGAGAATAAGCAGAGCAGCAGAAATATGAGACTTGTGGGTTTTCAGTCTAAACAGTTAATTTATAACTGGGAAGATTTTGTGTCAGCGTGGATGCCAGAGGCCTTTGGGGTCTAGAGCCTCCCCTTACTGCTGCTCATGAACTCAGTTATTTTCTTTCCTGTGAAGGGAATCAGGAAGCAGCTGTGCTTTCCTGATTTCCTGTTGATCGATTGGTGATCACAGTATGATCCTTTGAGCCCGAAGGAAAGCAGGTGTTGCTGTTATGAGAGCTCTGTGATTCCTTTTCCTTGCTTGTACATCAGGCTGTGGTTGGTATGCATGGGGGCAGAACTGGGAGAGGAGAAAGGGAAAGCTCCATTGAATAATTCTTTTGTTTTGTTTCCAGATGTACTGTGAGACTGTCTCTCTTTTGTTATCATATTTGGCTGCTGAAGTAACTTCTTTAAAACACTATCTAAATTTTTGACCCTGAAGGAAGCAAATTTTTCTTTAATAATTGTATGAGTTGCAGTTCTGTAATCTGAATTCTCCTAAACTTTGTATAACAGATAAAATGCATCAGAATACTGGCTTTGCCCTGGTAGCTTGCCACTGTCTCTCAAGCCTGACTTCAGATGTGGGTTTTATTATAGGAACATTGTTTCTGCAACATTGCTTGTTCATTTGTTTTTGCTTTCTTATGAGAGACTGTCAATAGAAACATTTTAAATTTCTTGCTATGAGGTTAGCAACTTTTGAGTCTAGGGTTGGCCCAAGACTGCCCAGCTCACACTGGGCATTTTACTGAATAATCAGCAGGTGGAAGGAGTAGCTGGTGTTTATTATCTTTGATGGGAATTTTTCATACCTTATTGGTGTTTTAATAGGAAAATTAATAACAGCTTTTTTATAGGAAAATTAATAACAGCAG